CAGCTTTCCATAATGAGTGATCAAGTAATTAAAATTGAGAGTGATGAGGATGATGGCAATGTAAATGAAAATAATGGCAATAATGATGAAGTTGTAATGACTGTTCAATACACCAATGAACAGAGAATAGTCTCAGCTGTTTGGATGCATGAAAAACAGTTCAACAAGCAGTCCATTGAAGATATTAGAAATAATTTTAAAATTCGTTTCAAACTACCCCCTCCTAGCACAAAAACTTTGGAACAGTGGGAAAATCAGTTATTTTCCAAAGGGAAAATTGTTACTGACGAAAAAGGAGAAGTTATAGGTGATAATGAAAACAGTATTGATCAATTATCTGATGAAAATTCAAGTGATGAAGATATCTCTGAATAAAATGACTGACATTTCTAATATTCCATTAAGTTAATTTAAGTAAAAATCTTGTTCTTTGATGTATTTTTTTAACACCTATTTTTTAATTTATTAGCTATTATTTGTATGTGTTGGCTTCAACTAGAAACACTAGACTCTTAATAATTAATTACAAATGATAAGACATATTGTGTAATTACATCAAAATTAGTGAGACAGTTAAAGCATATAATAAGGAAAGAGTTGGTTGAATAGTATCTATTTGATATTTGTGTATCCTACTTACAACGATAGGAAGCTAATGAATCCTACTCAACTAGTACCTGTTGTATCTCACTTCTATAATATTGCTATATGATACAAAATCATAAAGATAATTTTTGGGTTGTCTACTTCATCCAAGATCACTTACACCTGTATGTAAATATTATGATCTAAACACCTATACGCTATAAGAAAAACTTAATTGTTTCATAATGTGCTGATGAGAGCACTCTGGTTTCGATAATTTGGTTCTTGATTTACCAAAAAAAATTTGAATTATGGTTCTTTGGAATGAATATTTGAAATCATCATTTAAGGGCCTTAATTTTTGAAAACTAAAAGCTTTTTGTTTTATTCAGCTCAGTTTACTATTATCATTTGATGTATATACTTACTATACTAAAAGTATATATAAAGTATTTTACTATAATCAATAATGATAAAGCTAAATGTGATATATGTAAAAGTGTTTTTTCTTGCAATGGTTCTACAGTAATTTGCAAAAACATGTGAAAGTGAAACATTTCGTGGTTTTTAATGAACAAGTGTTGAGGCTGTTGAGCAGTCTTAGTCAACTCTTCAATTTGAGGTTGAGTGTTCAGGTGCTTCAAATATTTTTTAGTCTGTTCTAAACGGCTGGTAGTAATAATCTGTCCATCAAAGCAAACAAAATAACTGTTAAGGTCCAATGCAAACTAAACTATCAAGATTTTCTGTAAATCCAGAAAATGCTTCGCTGGTAAAAATGCTGAATGAAGAAGTGTTGAATATGATGATAAAAGATTAACAACCTTTTCAATTGTGGACGATGAAGCGTCTTATATCCCCTCTTGATCCATCTTATAAAATTCCTTTGAGAACTACTTTTACAAGGGATTTTATGGATGGGAAGTATAAAGGACCATTCAAAAAGGAAAGGCACAGGTAAGTCAACGAGAATTCGTGTGCTTAACAACTGATACATGGCGACTAATTCTGTTGATAAATATATGGCCATAATTGCTCAGTATATAAAGATTAGGTATTAAAAACAGCATTATTTAGCTGCTTTCATTTTTCCAATCAGCACACATCAGAAAATCTCAGAGATAAAATTATAAATGTTGTACAAGAATGGGAAATAGAAGAATATAAACAATAGTGACTGATAAAGCACATAATATAACCAGTGCCATAAAATTAACAGGTTGGTCTCATTTTCCTAGCCTGATTCATACCTTTAACTTGATTGTCCAGGATGGTCTAAAATAATTCAGCCGCTACAACAAAAAATCAAAAAGATTGTGAAGCGTTTTCATTGAAGTACTACAGTTTCAGCAAAATTTAGTGAGATGTAGATGGTAGGAAAAAGTTTAAAACTCATGACATATTTACCCGCTGGAACTAAACATATTTTATGTACAGCAGAATCTGCGAGCTTCAAGCCTCACTAGAAGCTGTTCTGGGCATTTAGCATAATCCTGTAGAAAATCTTCTTGAAAGTGAATGTGTGTGTGTGAATATTGTAAAGTTTTAATACCCTTCGAATGCGTGACTTTCAAATTATCTGTGGAAAAAGAGTTTAGTTGCAAAAATTATACCTTTAGTACAAGAAATATATACATAAAGTTCTGGCGCCTCCAATTTTAAAGAAACATGGTATGAACTAAAGCTTTGATATAATTGATTTTAATAATATAGTAGCAAAAGCTAGGCATTTAGATTAATGTTTAAAAAAGGTTTTGATAATGCTAATGCACTGATTCATGTTAAATTAGTTTTGAAACTAAATAAAAAGGTTAACAAAGATACAAAATGCAAATGCAAAAAATAACATATGCACTGTGAAATTGGTTCCTTCAGTTACAGTGTTATGTTGGTTTTTTCCTTACCATCAAAAAGAGATCTGCTTTGTTTACATATCCTATTTAACATATTTCTTTACCGAAGATCTTGGCTTTAGAATTCAGCATATTAGTGATAAGAGAAGACCAATCTGAATAGACTGAAGCAAAGTTAAAATTATTAAATAACAACAAAAACAGTGACATACATATCTATCTCTTACATCTACATAAGCTACTGAGTATTCAATCTAGAAAGTAACGAAGCAAATATAACACTCTTAACTCTCCAAACCCCTATCCACACTATAGATGGGACACATCATTTCTAGCCAAAGGGAGCAATTTTGCGATTGCACCTAAAGTTATACCCAAGGAAGATATCATCGCTAACATCGAGTCTGTGATTCGCAACTTATCAATTGAAAAAGCAGAAGAAATAAGGGCAGAATCAGCGAGAATTTTGCATAAAGCTAATACACCGAAAAATACCCCGAGTCACTAAGAAATCTGTGCCATAAAATCGTTAAACGCAGGCAATGTAATTTTACCAGCAGACAAGGGAAACGCCACCGTCGTAATGAAGACAACCTATTACAAAACGAAAATACAAATTCTAGATCCTGCGGTATATATTATAAGGCCTAAAAAAGATCCCACGGCAGTCATTCTACAAAAAATCAATAGACTTCTAAGATACACAAAGGCGATGTACCTCTACGCCCTATTGTGAGCTCCAAATGGTCTCCGTTTGCTAAATATCTGGCCAATATTTTACAACCACATATAGAAAAAAAAAAACGATGTCTGTGTATAAGACTCGGCCCATTTCATCAAGATCAAAGGAATAACTTCACAGGAACCTGGCATTTTTGTTAGCTTTGATGTTGTTTCTCTATTTACAAGAGTTCCCCTAGAAGACGTTCTGAATTTAATTGAGGGGCTAGTTTCCAAGGATACGGTGTTATTATACCTACTCACTACCTACTTATAGCTACTTTTCATGGGAAGACCAGATTTATGAACAGGTAGATGGAGTAGCAATGGAAAGCCCACTAAGCTCGGTCGTAGCCAACCACAAATCACCTACCTTATTAGTGGTCTGTGTAGCCAACCTTTTCATGGAGCATCTAGAGTAGAGTGTAATGGAGTCATCATACAAGCCAAGGATATGGTTTAGATACGGTTTAGTACGGTCACGGAGTAGAAAAACTTACGATTTCCTGTCTTATACTAACACAACACACTACATCCAAATATTCAATTTACGATGGAAATAGAGAGATCAACAACTAGCGTTCCTAGATGTTTTAGTAAATCGAAAGGAAGGTTACTTAGGACATAAAGTGTATTGAAAGCCTACACAGATACCTAAACAGAAACTCAAGTCATCATCCAGACCAAAAACAAGTTATCATCAAAACTCTGGCGGAGAGGGCGAAGAGAATTTGTGAACCACAGCATCTGCAAAGTGAACTTCTTCACACTGAAAAAGCGCTCAGCTCAATGGTTATACCAGAAGAGAAATACATAAAGCGATTAACGTTTCTAGAAGAAATAACATGTATAGACAAAGCGTTCTTACCCTATATATCGGGGGTAACAGACAGAATTGGGCGAATACTTAAAAAAGCCAATGTAAAGATTGGCTTTTTTGTAAAGCATGCAATGTAAAAATTTTCAACCCAACAAAGAAAATCAAGGACTGTTTAAGATCGGTGAAGAACAAACGCGACCCGTTAGCAACGACTGGAGTATACCGAATACCATGCACATTTGGAATGGTATGGCATGTGAGTGGTATGGTACGAATACCATGAATGTGAGCACCACAAAAAGACACACAAACACAAGGATAACCGAACATAAAAGCCATTGTCCTTTAGGACATATCAACAAATCTGCCGTTGCTGAACATGCTTTGGAAAGCGGAGAATATCGGATACTGTTTGAAGAAACGCAGATGCTGGTTAAAACATCACAGTGCTACCCACGGTTATATCGGGAAGCGGTGGAAATATAAGCATCCAAATAATTTTAATCGGATAGAAGGAGTAAGAATTAACAAAACATTTATAACGATATTAAAGTCCACAAACACCCTTCCCGCAAATCACGAAAAAAGATGAGCTACAAACGACGACACGTCCCCTCACACCTAAACCAGTGGAGGGAAGACGAGTAGAGAATATAGATATGACTTCCGTAGTACAACGTGGCGCCAGTTTCAGCTTATAAGCGAAGCAGTAACATCTCAGAAGATGCCAACCCCTAGTGTTGGCGAAACGTCGAGAACTAATCTTAGAAGACAACGGCCTAACACCCCGAACAAACAGTTTAACAAGTTTATCTCTGTTGTTCGTCTCTTCCTAATTTAATCTCATTACCCAGGACCTAGGTACTTAATACACGTATTAGAATATGACAAATCTTATGTTTATTTTGACTACTGTAAGGCTTCTAACTTCTGTGTTAAAAATAAAGAAATATTAAATTGTTTTATTTATTAGAGGTAAATATTTCATTGAAACAGACAGTATTATCTAATATTTTATTTTTATACTTTATATTATAATTATTATATATTGTCTATTTTCTTTTATTTTTCTTCTTGGTTGTATTGTCTGAGGGCAATCGAATTGTATCTGCTGATGCCGACACATGAACTACATTAAAAGTTGCTTCTTGGTCTTCTTTTGTAGCTACAGAAGCGGCGTGTTCAGCTTCATCCACTCGTGTGGTGGTAAATCTCTGTGATTTGGTCCCCTAAAAATATACAAATACATAAATTACAAATTTGATGCAGATACAATAGTGTTGAATTGAATAAAAATAGGTTCGCATGTCAGATAGATCCAAATTAATTTTAGTATAACTTGACCGTCAAGAACTGGAAACTTACGGATGGAAGAAGAATTAGAAGTATGATGCAAATTAACTTTACATATAAGAGGATGGAGAAGAATGTACAAGAGAGATCCGAATGGATAAAAACAACGAGACAGGCAAAGACCCCTTTAGGGTCTAGTAAAGCCAAAAGAAGAAGTGGAATAGCAAGAGTAAGTGTCATATTTTAGTCGATCTAAAACAGGTTAAAGATATAATAACGCCGTAGACATGATCTTCATGTAAGAATGGTGGACAAAAACCATTGTTTGAGAGCAGGTGTTGATTCTTTTCCATGTTAAGTAGTTAAGGGAAAATAAGGAGACATCTTTATTTGACGAAGTCCATGTTTATTCTAATTTATTAATCGAATGCGAATGAAAATAAATGTGTGAGTGTAAATAACTAAATTATTTAATAAAATATACCGGTCAAATTCCTGATGAATGGATAAAATCTATCTTTTTTACTCGTACCTATAAAAATATTCCTGTTTACAAATAAGAAGTAGAGTATAGCTATCAGATTGAGGTTCGCCGAATGTTATGTCTGGTCGCAACTGATATATGGGGTAGATGCTTGTACTCTGAAAGCCCAATCCGTAAGAAATGGATGCATTCGAAATGTGGCTATAAAGGCGGATCTGCTACCCGTTATGATACAAAGAGGATGAGAGCCAGGAGAGGGCTTGGGAATCTTCGTTAGAAGACGACAAAATAAGAAAATCTTTTGAGAGAACTATAAAAGCAAACAGCGTCTAGCATAACAGCTGAAACAACAATGTGAAAAAGATCTCCTACGCGATTTTCATGATCCTATAACCTGATCAGGTTCTAAAAGGCCTATTCCAGGTATTTATAGTGTTGGAGAACAATGATTAGTCAGCAGTTACAAATAATATGCTATTACATTAATATTTAATTTAACTTACTATATGACTTAGTTCGGACACTGACTTGCTTGTTTCTGGTGCGCATTTTTTAGTGCTGTATTGTGTTGCAGCGTTACTGAGTGATTTTTGTTTTACAATGGACTTTACTTTATCCATACTCGGTTCTGGTTTAATATCTTGAGTCATGAATGATGTAGTTGATGTACTGCCGATAGGACTATCGCTAGCTCTTCGGTGAGTATTATTAATATCTAAAAAGCTATTACTTATTGATGATTTGCCATGAAAGCTTCTAGAAACTCTAGAAAGGGTTAACGGTTCTATATATTTTTCTTTTACTAATACAGCTCCTGGTTTTATTTTCGTCTGGTCTTGCTCTTGTTCTAATTTCATAATTTTGTCGCAATCAACACTTACAGCTCGTTTAACACTTCTATTTTCCAGAAATTGCTCTTTTGATGCTGACCATTTATCAGATCCTGTGATCGGTACATCTATAGATATATTTGTTACCATACTATCCAATACGGATGATTTCTTATTTACAATTTTAAAATTTTTCCTTTCTAATTCACTGGAATTTACACTACTTGATGATTCAGTCTGTTCTGCATCCTTAATCTGTTTTGAGCTATCTAATTTGAAGACATTGGTAAATATGTCCACATTTTTTGTTAAAGAAGAAAGAGGATTTGTGCTTGTTGGTTGAGTGTGGAATAAATGACTAGATTCCATCGGTTTGGGGCTAGTGGGGTGGTTAAATATGTTATTTAAAACAATTACTGTGTCAGTTAATGTGCTGTTGCTATTATCACCTCCTGTTTCACAGTTTTCTATATCTTCTGTTACTGTAATATCGCAGTCAGCACCAGAACCGACGGTAAGATCGTTGGTGTTGAAATCAACTTCTGATCCAGACACTGGAGTAACATCGCCACTTTCTGAACCTGAAAAATACGCAATAAAGCTTAAATATCAAGTATCAAACCACATTAATAATAAAATATAAAAATGTTAATTAAACGTCAGCGTTTAGAGAATGGGGATGAAGTATCGGCCAGACTCCGAATTAACAAATCTTCTTCTCGATTTGGATCATATCCAGAGATGAATAGTGAATCCGTTGAAACTAACTAACCTAGATTATATACGAGTACAGTTCTTTGGATACATGTTATAGGACAGGCATCGTTGTGGAATGAGATTAACCAATTTCCCCTTGTCGACTCTTCAAGAAGATCGTTGCAGACGGATGTCAGTGACGTTCTATAAAAGAAGAAGAGTTGAAGAACGTAAAAACTGGATGTCCCAAAATGGTCTCCAAAACTCTCCTGCTGAGGAATTAAGTTTAACGGGATTTTAACAGCGGAATTGCGTGAAGACCGACGTTGATAGCACGTGACTAAACACAATGTGAGCTTCTTGATACTGTCACGGGCAAGTTCGTCTCTTTTTTCTGGGAGGATAATAAGAAAAAACCTTGACTTCATGTTGGCACTGGAGTGTACGTGGGATTTGTGATATTTTCCGCAGTTGGGACAAGTTATAAAGAGATGTTTGCGTTTACAGCACTTTGAACTGTACATTTCATGAAGACTATTGCAACCAAGTCCCACTTCGTCAATGAGGACACTTTTCAAGAGTACTTCTGTGTACTTGGTTTCAGAATCTGTAAAGGCTCTAAAATTTGAGGGGATATTGTTTGATCTGGCGATTATAAGGTCGTCTTTCGTAAAAGGTAACTTGGATTGAGTGATGATAGTCTCGATATCGTCTTTTCCTGTTATGTCGTGACGAGACTATGGTTGGTTTGGTGGTAGAGACTTTTATAACACCGATTGGTGTTTTGAATTCTCTGTTTGAATTCTCGAACATTAATGGTATTGTAGGTATTTAAATACCTGTAATATAAATAGGCCTGCTTTTGGGGGAAGACTAAATTAGATGAGGTCGTTTACTTTGATAATACAGATTTAATTCAATCTAAACTTAAATAATAGTTATAGTAAATAAAGAGTTTTGAAGCGTGAGCGGTAGAGAAGGCGCCTGAGAGTTGGTGGGGTTTGGAATTTGATTTCCGATTTACTTCTAATAGATGCGCCCGTGTTGTGGGGTGAATGGGTTCTGATGGATTGGGGTTTGGATTTGAATCCTTGGTCCTTAGGAAATTTTATTGTTGAATCTGGATTGCGCGAGGTGGAGTAACTCTAAGGAGTTCATGGAAGTCGTGGGAAAAATTATTCTCGTAATAATCTGAGAGGTTAGGGAGGTAGTTAACATATTGTTTGCTTCGGCAGAATGGGTTGAACTAATTTTAAGATAACGGTAACTCGTTGAGCGACATATGATGAAAGGTCGAATTTTTTCTAGTTGGGGACTATTTTTTGTTTTTCTTACAAAACGTCTCACCTGCAGACTCACTGGCAAGCTAACCACTGATTGATGATTTAGGATCCTTCCCAATTGGAGGTCTTTTCGTGGATTAATACGCAGGGAAATTTTCCCCGTTACTTCAAATTTACTACTTTCGAAGTATGGTTCTTTAATCCATTAGAGCCTACAGTCACCATATGGGCCCATCTGTAGGTATCGTTTAACACAATAAAATTATAATAAAATAAGCAACCAACATTAGGTTTACTGCATAAATACTTTATTTAGACTTGTCTGAACCCTCGTTGATGAATTTGAAAGTAGAACCCACGTTGAAAATCAGTGTTTTATTATATTTTTCAAGCGAACGAATTTAGAAATTATATTATAAAATGATGTTATTAATGTCCATTATCAAAAGGTGTTTGATAATGGACATCCGATTTATGTAAGTATATTTTCAGTGCCTTCTTTTGGGAATACTAGGATCAAATCAATTTTTTTACATATTTTTGTATCTAGATTACAAGCGACAGTTAAAAATTCATGTAAATATTGCTGTACCCATATGGACCCCCTAAGCAGTTATATTTTCAAAACTTATATTTTTATATATATTTCAAGCCATCCTGCAAGGAAAAATATTTGGAAAGCGAGGTCCAGGAAGAAGAACATCTTGGTTGAAGAACCTCAGAATCTGGTTCAATACAACATCTGTGCAGCTTTTCCGCGCTGCTGCAGATTAGATAAAGATTGCCATGATGATCGCCAACATTCGAAACGGATAAGCACATCAAGAAGAAGAATATTTTTATAATTTCAGTGGACTTACACTATCAGTATCAGCATAAACAACATCAGATATGCTGATGATAGGAAGCAACGCATTAGAACTACAAAATATAATAAATGCGGTAGTTCACCACAGCGAAATGTTCGGTTTACATCTAAACGTTTCCAAAACTAAAACTTTAGTATTTTCAAAGACACCAATAAACGTACATGTGTATGCCAAGGGTCAAATGATAGAACCGGTAAATTCCATAAAATATTTGGGAGCAAATTTCAATAGTCAGTGTAATCTAAAAAAGAAATCCTATCAAGAATCGAACAAGCAAGGAAAACATTCATGAGTATGAAATCATTTTTTACAAGATCAGACCTTAGACCTTAGAATCCGAGTGATTAGATGTTAGGTTTTTTCTGTCTTACTGCATGGCTGTGAAAAATGGACAATGGACTCTGAAATAGAAAAAAGAATAGATGCCTTTGAGATGTATATATACAGACGAATGTGGAGAATTCCATGTGTAAACAAAAAGAATTACTAAGAATAATCAAAGAGAGGAAAATGCAATACTTGGGTCATGTGTTGAGAGGCGAAAAATATGAATTACTTCCAGTTATACTGGAAGAAAAAGTACAGGGCAAACGATCAGTAGGAAGACGCCAGAATTCATGGCTGAAAGACCTAAGGAGATGGATCGCCAACCTTCGAAAGGAGACGGCGCCATGAGAATACACTAAAGAAGGCGCATGAATAAGACACTAAAGGAAGCTTTAAATTTGGCATATGAAGAAGATGATGTAACACACATTTTTTTTAAACTCCTGATGAATAATGTACAGACATTATTTTAAAACTCCTGATGTGATGAAGGTTATTACCCAGATAACTTGAATGCTCGTTAACTTTATTCGATAAATCATTGATAGGCTACTTTGGGCACCATGGACGCAAACAGTTGATCAGAGGAAAACCTGAAGATTTGGCTATAAGGTGCGGTGTATGAATACACCTAGTGGATATTTGATAAACTTACTGAAGTATATCAGGGAAAAAAACCCTAGAATAATGAAAAATATCAAAAATATTTTGGACAAGTTGCAGCTTCCATGGTATAGATGATCGAAGAATTGAGTGACAAAGGATTTCTGACATATAAGTTTTTCGTTAATAATTTATTTATCAGTACAAAATTGTTTTAGCAAGTAATCTAAAAGCTAGCGGGTATGAGAGCTAAATGATAAAAGACTTCTTGGTATTTTTGAGAGAAAAATTCTTAGATTCTTAGAGACTTAGATGGGCTGGACACATTGCTAGGATGTCAGATCACGAATACACAAAGAGATTAACATTTTCAAAACCAGAGGGCACAAGAAGCAGAGGACGACCATAAATGAGATGGATTGATGATGTTGAAGAAGACCTACAGATTCTAAGGGTTAGAAGATGGAGGGGAGTTGCCAGGAATCGACAAGATTGGCGACTTGTTTGCGAGCAGGCCAGGATCCACAACGGATTGTTGAGCCACTTATGATGATGAAACCACCTTTATGGGACCACCCTTTTTCCAAACAAGAAATAATTTTTTTTATTTCGGCTTATATTGCTGATCGTTCTGCCCGTCGATCTGTGCATCGCGTCTGTTATGAAGTTCTAGAAGAAAATGCAGAGTTAGGTTTCAGATCTGGGATAATATATAGCCTTCCGTTTCGGTTTTATTCTCGGGATGTCTCGGAATTCTATCACTTCACAAATTTTTCAGGAATAGAAGACTTTTGAAAAAAAAACAGTCCTTTTTTGAAAATGACCACAGAAATGCAGCATAGAATATAGACCACGAAGGTCCGTAACGGTAAAAAATTAGTTGACGGTTTCTTGAATAGTATTATTTAATTTTCCTGCTTCAAAGAGGCTTTTCACATATGCCACAAAGTGGCATACGTAAGATTATGTTTCCGTCCAAGAATTCTTTACAGTCTTTGGTTATTTAAAGCTTGCAGGGATGCAAGCCAGGCAATAAGCCATAAGTCTAATGAGCCATCTGCTGAAGCTCTTTGCGCCCAATCAGTTTGGATTTGTAAACGCCGTTGGTACGAGGAAAGCTTTATTTAGCGTGCAGATATTGTTTCAGAAATGTAGAGATGTCAGCTGTAATGTTTTTGCATGCCTGATTGACTACAAGAAGGCTTTCGATAGAGTCAGACATGAACAAATGATGGAAGTGCTGAAGAGGACAGGGATTGACGGAAAATATTTAAAAATAATAGCTAACCTGTATTGGAAACAATCAGCGGTACTCCGAATAGATGGAGAATATACAGATCAGATTAAAATCTTAAGGGGACTGAGACAGGGGTGCATAATTTCACCATTGATATTTAATCTGTACTCGAAGCATATTTTTGAAGAGGCTGTACAAGATATTGATGAAGGCATCTCAATAAATGGAGTCAAGCTCAATAACCTGAGGTATGCAGATGATACAATAGTGTTTTCCAATACCATAGAAGGGCTGCAAAACTTAATGAACAAAATAACGGAAACAAGTAGAAAATATGGACTGGATATAAACACCAGAGAAACCAAGCTAAAGATCATCAGCAAGGAAAAAACTGGAACAAATCTGTATGTGAACCAAATGAGAATTGAACGAGCCTCACAGTACAACTACTTGGGAACTATAATCAATGAGTCGTGGGACAATACCCAAGAGATTAAATGTCGCATCGGAAAGGCAAAAAGTGCATTCTTGACTATGAGTTATGTGTTCAAGTGCCATGACCTCACCCTAGAAACAAAAAGAAGGCTCCTTCAATGTTATGTGTACTCAGTGCTTCTGTACGGAGTAGAAACGTGGACATTGAAGGCGGAAACTCTATCAAAACTTCAAGCTTTTGAGCTATGGTCATACAGAAGGATCTTGAAGATACCATGGACAGACAAAGTCACCAATTTTACAAGGTAAAATTGAAGGAAAAAGGGCCCCAGGACGAAGAAGAATATCCTGGTTTGCTAACCTGGGAGCATGGTATATAAAGACCTCAACAGAGCTATTTCGTATAGTAACCAACAAAGTCATCATAGCCAGAATGATTGCCAACGTTCGGAACGGACAGGCACCCTAAGAAGAAGAATGGACTAAATGTCATTGCATTTCTACTTGCCGTGTAATAGTGCTTGGCAAAATTAATAAGGTGTTGTTTCTTTGCCTGTTAAGATTGTCTCGATGAGCTGGCACGTTTTAGCGCTCAAATACCAGTACGTCGTTAAAAGCATACAATAAATCAAATCGTAAAATTTCAATAACTTACCTTTTGGTTTGTTATTATTGGCATAATATTCGGTGAATTCGATCGATTGCGGAACATCCTTTTCAAACGAGTCCAACAGCATTCCAACATTTTCTAAATCTTGATCTAATCCCGGCACTGCCGGGAACATTTTGTTGAAGTTATCCACAGTAATACTAAAAATGAATGTTAGTTATGAATGATACAGATAGATGACCAAGATAAAATGAATGAATGCAAGGTAGAACGGTGCAGTGTTAATGTATGACTCGTTATATATGATTTAACCATAATACTTAGTCCAATGATAATCAATAACACTAATTTTTTATTTATAATAAACTGACAAACAGACTATAGTAGGTCCCGATAGAATTATTGAACGTAACGAAGGCTTTGCACGACGTCTAACAATTTGATTAAGAACGTCCCCAATTAACCATAATTTTGAGTCATTATAATGAATAAAATACACTGCAAAAATAGAGAAACAGCACTAACTTCCATTTCTTCTTCTAATGCCTATCGATAACTAAATGCTGACAATTATTATTCTGACCTCAATTTTATTTGGTCTAAAGAGTATTGTGATGAATGTATTAAACATCCAGGTAGTAGTGTTCTTAATTTCCTAGTCAGGACATTTTTTTCTTCTGCCGACATCTTCCTTAGTATGAACTTTTCCTTACAGAATGCATTCCAGTAATTTATAATTGGTTTCATTTCTCATAATCTGATTATGCTACTTTCTAAGTTTTACTACGTACATTATTTTTCTTTTTCTTTGCTAAATTTTGAAGTTCTTCATATTGTGTCCACCCATTATATTTTAAGAATTAATAAATTTAAATGATTTTTTGACTTTCAATTTGCTGTGTCTACGAATACTTTCTTTCGAAAATTTTACAGCATAAACCTTCAAGTATTCAGATGACAAAAAGTGAATATAAATTGAAGTTTTTAAATAAATTCTATGAGGACTGATAAATTTTTAAAGATTTTGTTGTGAGATCTCATCAGCTTTATGCTTACTCGTAAAACTTAGGCGTCCTGGTCCTGTATTTCCTTCTATTTTCCCTTCTAAATCAATAGTAGGATTCTGTATTTATTTTCATTCCTCACTATATGTACGAAGTATGCTAACTTTCTCTCTTTAATAGATTTCAAGACTTCAGGTTCTTTTTGTAAACGTTGCATTACTGCGTCGTTAGTTATATGATGTACATATGATATTCTGAGCATGCGACGATAGCACCACATCTCAAAAGACTGCAACTGTCTGCAAAACGCATCGGTCATTGTCCATGATTCTGCTCCATACATAAGAACAGAAAACACATAACAATTAAGGATTTTGAGTCGGAGATGTAAGTTCAAGGTTAAATTGCAGAGAACTTTCTTCATCTGTTGGAAGACACTCCTTGCTTTTTCGATCCTACATTTAATCTCATATGAGTGATCCCAGCTGTCTCTGATGTTGCATCCTAGGTATGTTATTTTTTCTGTTCTATCCAATACCTCATTGTCTGCTATAAACTTTGCATCTGCATCTTGGTTTTTGCTTATGATCATAATTTTCGTCTTCTTATTATTAAGTTTCATTCCATATTTTCTACCGATGTTAACCACTTGATATACCAGTTTTTGTAATCCTTCAGCACTATCCGCAACAAGGACAGTGTCGTCTGCATATCTTAGATTATTTATTACTTTACCGTTAACAATCAAATCTCCCAAAGCTTCTCGAAATAGATGTTCAGAGTACGCACTAAACAGCAAAGGCGAGAGTATGCAACCTTGTCGTACTCCTCTTTGTATTGGGACTTCATCTTGGCTGCTTGTTTTCTATAGAAATTGGCTATTATTCGTATATCCTTGTCATCGATGTTTGCGATTCGCAAAGTTTCAATAAGCCTCTCATGCTGTACTTTGTCAAATACCTTTTCGAAGTCAATGAAACAGGCAAAGTCATCTGTACTAACATCTCTTGCTCGTTGTATCAATACTTGTATGCTAAAAAGTGCTTCTCTTGTACCAAGACCGCTGCGAACTCCAAATTGTACCTCAGCAATACCCTCCTCCAATTTCTTGTATATGCGAGCATGGATGATGTTTAAGAATATTTTAAGTGAGTAGTTCATGAGGCTAATGATTCGGTGTTCGTCACATTTCTTAGTATTTTCTTTTTATGGCAGTGGTATAAATATGGACAAATACCAATCTTTTGGTAAAGTTCCTGTTTCATATCTACGGTTAAATAATTCTGTCATAATGTCAAGTTGATTGTATTCTATCAATTTCAATACCTCTGCAGATATTCCATCAGGTACTGGCGCTTTGTTGTTTTTTAGATGACTTATAGCCGATCTTACTTCTGATTTTGTTATTGTTGGACCATTCTCGACGTTGTCATATACTTCAATGTGTTGGTTGTCACTGTACAGTTCTGCTATCTGTCCAGTTTTTCTTGCGTATTGAATATAATGTTTTCATCTTTATCAAACAGTGCAGTGGACATTGTTGTTCTATATATTCCTGCCATTTCTTTGATCTTCCTGTGCATATTGAAAATATCATGTTTTTTCTGTACGATCTCTATTTCTAAGCATTTTTCTAACAGCCAAGATTCTTTTGCTAATTTTATTTCTTTAAGTACCTTCTTGTGGCGTTCCTTGTACTTTTCTGCGTCTTTATTCTTAAGCTTCTTCTTTGTGTGCTGAATATGCTGTAATTGCGTGTTTTAATTTGAAAATTTCCATAAAACTTGCTCGTGTCTTATATTTTAATTTTGTAAAACTTCCTTCCGAAAATTTTACTTCATAAGCTGTGAAGTATTCCGATGAACAAGAATGAATTTAACATTTTAAACTACTTACGGTACCATAGAAATGTATAACGGTCCAAGAATATTATATAACGGTCTTCCGCAAGGCTCAATTCTGAGTCCTTGAATATTTATTGTTTATACTGCAGATTTGCATGGTTTGATGGATGACAAATGCAAAATAATTCAATGTGCAGACGATATATATTTATATACCACCCATAAATCATATGAAGATTGTATGTTGAATCTAAAACTTAGCTTTAGTAGCATTTATAAGTGGGTAAAACAAATAGGTTTTAGTATATCACAAAAAAGTCTTCGATTGTATGTTTCACTAGATGTAGACAAAAAGTTAGAGGCAAATGCTAGATAGGTGATTATATTTCCCCCTTAGCAGGAGAGTATAAGTATCTAGGCATGATCCTACATAAAAAACTCTTGTGGTCCAGCCATACAAAGTATATAATACAAAAGTGCCAGCATGGAATTAACCTTCTGCGTTTCATTTCAAAAAAAGGTTGGGGTTGGGGGGTGCAGATCAACATATATCTTTAATGTTTTATAGATCCTGCATACGATCCATTCTGGATTATGGTTGTATTCTTTACGGTTCAACATGCAAAACAAATCTATTAACTCTTGACAGAATACAATTTAAATCAATAAAAATTTGTCTAGGAGCTATGATGTCTCCACCAAACCATGCTATTCTAGTAGAAGCCCAAGATCCACCTGTCACACATACGTAGACAAATGTTAGCCAACAAACGTCTAATAACATACAGATCGTTTAATACAACTAGGTATCATAAAATAGGTTTACTTTTGACAGAAATTTCCTACTAGAGAATAAAAAATTCTCCTCCTCTTGCAGAATCTTTTATTGATACGAATTAATTTCAATCTTATATATTACAGCTACCAAAATTTCCTTTTCACGAACAAGACCTTGAAGTTCTGATAGACAAACCAATTATTACACTGCATTCTTATTCAGACTTGCCAATATAAACTAATCTGATATTTAAATCCATACTAAGCAAATTAGGGGAAGATTTAACAATAATTTATACATATGGAAAAAAAAACTGTTGAAAGTGCTGGAATCGCATTTTTTGTTTCAAACAGCAATTATGCTGAGAAATATCGAATTCCTGAATGTTGTTCTATTCTTACAGTAGAGACTGCTGCTATACTGAAAGCACTAACTTGGTGTGTCACTAATTATTGTGAGAACATCGTTACAGAATCAGATTCTCAGACAGTATTACAAGCTATTCGTAGCCATCCATTAGATAGTTTTCAAAACTATATTATACTTGACATCAAAAAATTATTTATCATCATCATCACTGGCTCGACAACCCTTTTTGGGTCTTGGCCTGTTCAAGGATTCTTCTCCATTCTGACCGGTTTCGTGCTTTTTTTTCCAGTTTTTAATTTTTAATGTTGTTATATCATTTTCTATTTGTTCTACGTATCTCAGCTTCGGTCTTCCTCTTGTTCTTTTTCCTACTGGCACTTGTTTGGTATTTCGCCTTCTTCCATTCTTTCCACATGTCCAATCCAACGTAGCCTTCCTATTTTAATGAATGTTATGATATCCGGATCCTGGTATATGTTGTTTAGTTCTCAAAAAATTATTACATGAACTAAAATTCACAAAAAAAAAACAGTTACTTTACTCTGGGTTAAAGGATACAATGGAGTAATTTGAAACGAATTAGTGGTCAGTATTGTGCAAGAGGAGGCAATTTTCTATAGTTTAATTAAGTTTGCTTTAGAAGTAGAAATAAATCTTTAAAAAAAGATATATAGGTAATAACCAAATTATTAAAACAAATATTATGTGATAAATAGATATGTTCTAATGCCATTTATTTTCTTCACACACAACACACACAAGGAGAAGTATTATTTTGTGTTTTAATATTAATTGTAGAATAATTTACTTCATATTTTTTATGTTCTTTGATGTAGAAATAATGTAGACGTAAGGATATATTGTGGATCCGACCATCGTTTACCTATGGCCAACGTGATAGTTAACTATCGCAAAAACAATAACACTAAGGTACAGAATATAGAATAGGGACAATAAGTTACATCCCCTAAATATAACCTAGAAAGCTTAAAAGAAGATTCAACGAAATTTCTTTACAAATTACGACTGGCCACAAAAATAAAACAATTACAGCAACTTAAAAAATGCATTCACGAGGCTGCAAGTGAAGCTTTGGGGTATAAATACAAACATGAAACAAAAAGTCAATAATGGTGGTTGGAGAATATGCAAACGTTAGTAAACAAGAAGAAAACTGCTTATCAGAAATGAATGTCAACGAGAAA